AGCAGGGCCCAGTGCCACAAGAACATTTTTAAGAGTGGGGGGAAAAGAAATCCAGTCCTCTTATCCTTGTCCACTCCCTTTCCTCCAGAAGAGGCCAGCAGCAAGCCCCAGCCCGTATGGCTGAGAGCTAGGACCCCAGGAAAGGAGCATACAGTAGAGCCCCCTAGCATGTAAGGTGGCATCCGGGACCCCGGCCTTGGCACAGGGCTGGCAGCAGGGCTCCTAGCACGGTGGGGCAGTAGTTGGAACACCAGGCATGGGAGTGGTGGCCACGGCCCCGGTGCTTGGAACCAGCAGCAGAGCCCCCAGTGCATGGGGTGGTGGCCAGGAGCCTCCATGCCCCAAGTTCCTGTGCTAATGACAAGGTCCTGCACTTGGTATTATGACATTTCTCCGTGTAGTGTGCTAACTTTTGAACACTGCATTCAATCCATTTCAAAGTTTCAGGGCCTGATCTAGGCATCAATTGGCATTACCTTATTGATTAAGGTACAAATCAGGAAACCAAAAAAGCCTGAGTTAGAGGAAGATAGCAGGCCGACAAACTGCCTCATGTTGCAAGCAGAAGACTCCCTCTGGAATCCACAATCCGTATCACAGGCAGCAGTTTAACTGGCAGCTGAGGGGAGACTGACTGTAGTGGGAAGTCTAACAGAAATAAGAGCACTTTATAGAGAGCACTTTTAGAGGAGGTAGCACCTGGAGGGGGAGCGAATGTAATGACCTGGACGGGGTGTAGTGAAGAGGCATGAGTAGGTCAAGCAAGAAGCTACAGGTGCGGTGAATAGAGACTGTTTATAATGAACCCAGAGTTTCTCCACAAATATCTTCTTCTCTGGAAGGAAAAGGGACCCTGGTGTCTGTGTAAGTGATCCTCAGCCAGGGCTGGAGGAAGAGAGTTCTGATGGGGATGGGGTATGAACTAACAGTACATTAATATGCTGCGCTTTCTTACTGCATGTACAACTCATCCTACAGAAGCAACAGTGTGCACTCTTTAATGATCTTGTCCGAAGCCAGCATAAAGGGGGATGACAAGTTACCAACATCAAAGAGCCCAATTTAGATGTACCAGCCAGGCTACAACCCTTAATCAGTAAATGAGTATTAGGCAGAGATAACGAACGAGGAATGAAGATTCTTCATGTCTGCTTTAAAGTTATATTGGAATGGAAATTCCCCCAGCAAAAAAATCACTCACTAAAAACAAAAACAAAAACCCCACACTCCATTACTGATGCAGGTATTATCTTGTCTTTTTATATTAACCTAATCCATCCAAAGATTGTACTCTGCCACTGTAGTATTTGGGCACTTGACATGTTATTTTTAAATACAAGTCCCCCACCCCTTTCCAATGTACAAGAAACAGCTGGATTAGTTTATAGTGCTAAATGAGCCTTGAGCAGAGGATCAAGAGGAAGTTTCTACCTTTCTGTCTTGACTTCCCATATATTTCCCCTCTTTTCTTTTTTAGGAACAATGTAAATTCTCAGGTCTGAAACTGGACTATTGCAGTTCACACTTCTGGAGACTGACTCCTTTGAGAAGGTCACTCATCTCAGACAGAGTGGAAGATAGAAATAAATTCACAGGCAGCACACCTACAGTCCTTGCCCTAAAAGTCCATCTTCTGTTTGCATTCAATAGTCTTCATACAGTGATTTGGTGGAGAAACCTGCCCCCTGTCCTCCTGATAAGGCCAGGTATGTCTATGCTACTAATTTCTGTTGACAAAAGTGTTGCCAACAGAACAAAAATCGGAATTTCATGTACACGTTTGCTCTTTGTTGGCAGATCGTGTCCACGGTGGGGTCACCCTCATCAAGATCAATCCAGCTTCGGTTGTTGGGTGTTGCAGGAAGATGGAGCAGATTGTGGTGCACCTTGAGACTGGCCTCAGTGTCCTAGGATGCACGGCTTTCTGTCCCAACACGCCATCAGCTTCCGGCTTCTTTCGTGGCATTTTTGCAATGGCCCTTCTTTGCTGTACACCCTGCATCTCCTGTGCTCTGTTTAACTGCACTGCCTTCACCGCAATGTTATTAAGAAGTTTCTAACCAAAGAGGATTCGCAGGCGAACAATATTCTGCATGATATGGATAGGAGAATGGTAACCTTTCACAGAACAGCTGCATAGGGTAGACAGAACTTTTTGGCTTGAAAAACAAGCACTAAATGGTGGGATTGTATCATCATTCAGGTGTGGGATGAAGAATAGTGGCTACAGAACTTTTGGGTGTGAAAAGCCACCTTCCTGGAACTGTGTGCGGAGCTCGTCCCAACCCTGTGGCACAAGGACATCAAAATGAGAGCTGCTCTATCAGCAGAAAGGCATGTGACAATCACTGTAGAGAAGCGGGTGACTCTGGACTGCTAGTGGTTGGTCATGAATTAATTTGGAGTAGGGATACATTAACGCAAGCATGCAGGGCAATAAGTCACATTCTGCTATCATGACTCTGAGAAATGAATGTGAAATCATGGACAGCCTTCAAGAAATGGGTTGCCATAACTGACCACCTTTCAACAGAATACATCAATGAGAGGGGGTACCTGCAGCTGTTGCAGGTGCTTGTGGATCACCGTGTGTGTTTCACTGACATCAATGCGAGGTAGTCCAGGAAGGTGCATGATGTATACATCTTCAAGAACACCAGCCTGTACAGAAAGCTGAAAGCTGGAAGCACCAAATCTCATTACAGTGGAGAATGTTGAAATGCCCGTAGTGATGGTGAGAGACCCAGTGCACGCCTTATAGCCGTGGTTCATGACACTTTACGTGAAACACCTGGACAGCTAAGATCCCTCTAAGCTGTATAGTTGAGTGGCTGCTCAGCAAGTTACCAATGTCCTCGACACTGCCGGGCTGCTCCTGGAAGACTCCTGTTTGGTGGACAGTGTGGGAGGAGGAGCACTGAGGCCAAGGATTTCCCCTTCCCCTATATCCTCTCTCTGCAGAGCAGGGGAAGAGAAACAACAGGACTCAGGAATGGGATA